GGGGGGGGGGGGGCAAAATGACGTCCATTTCAGAAATATTTACTAAGTTTTAAAATTTGAATTTGTAGGGTAATGAGATAAATATTTTAATGAGATACATCTGACTTCCATATTTAGTATCGAAATTAACACTTTTGAGTGTAACTATTAGACCTCTCGGATTATAGGGCCTACTAATTTTCAAACCTTTCTGGGGGGTGGGGGTGGAAATGTTTGACAATTGTTGACAAGGGGGAGAGGTAGATTAGTTGACGTCAACAATCATGTCTTCTCTATTAAAATTTTAATCTTAAAAATTGACTGGTTGTTACATTATTTTAACAATTTTAATGGGTGTACATTAAAATAGTTACATAATTTTTAGATTTTTTAACAATATAATATTTATTTATTGTGTGTCTGTCTGTGCACTGCTGATGGCTGGTCAGAATGTTTGCACATTTAGTTAATGCAAGAGAAGTCAAACGTTGGCCTCTCTTCGACTGTAGATTCTGTTTGTTGCAAATGACTAGGGCGGTATGTTAGCGATCGTGTTGCAGGTATGGAACGGAACAAGATCAAGGTCAAGTGTCATGTGCGGTCAAGATAAATGATATTGATAAGAGTAGGAATACGAATATTTTGAGAATTATGGGAAAGTAAAGTGAGACACAGAAACAATGATGACATCGCTGCTTGAATGGATTTGGAAACTCTGTAACATCTATTTTGCATCACAAGTCATGTTGAAATAGCAAGTTTAACAGCGTCGAGAGTGCATAAGAAATTACCACCTGCTCCTCCACAAAAAAAGGATTCAACTACTGCAAGTAGCTGCCAGGAGACAGAGAGAGCTTATGGCGGTTATTGCTCACACTGGCAATGCTTCTATTTTAAGTGCTAACTAATCTACCCCCTCCCCCTTGTCAATAATATGTCAAACATTTACAAACCGCCTGTTATATACGATTTACAAAAAGTAGGCCTACCAATTTTGAGAAGTCATAAAAATGTATAGCCCTTTTTTTTACAAAAGAGTTTTTTTTTCTTTTTTTTTCTTTTTGACTTGGTAAAACTTTGAAATATCTAGAAATAAACCTATGGTTTTGGTTTTTCATTTTCGTTCAACGTGTAAAATTATTTTAGCAATTCTTGTTTGTTATCAATACATTTTTTTAAAGGAATTTTACTTTAAATGTTTTAAAACATTTTTTTTTTTGTAAATTCATTTATTTTCAAGTAGTTTAGCCCAAAACCTTTTTTTTTTTTTAAAAAAAAACAACTCATTACTATTCAGTAATACAAAATATATTTGTATCCCCCGCTTCTTTTCGGTTATGTCCTCCTCTATCTAGCATTAAAAGTGGAAAATTAAAAGTAATTACAGTATTTATACAGTGTATAAAGTATAATGATGCAATACTAAATTTAACAATGTACAAAAATTAATTCTTGCATTTTAAATTTATAAAAAATTTCCGGGGACTGTAAAGAGTTCAGTGGCGTGACTAGGCTAGGCAGTATCTAATGGGGAAAAGGATACTATAGGCCCCCAACTTAAATTAATTTAGTTCATGTTTGGCTAGTGAAAGAGTTAGAGATGTCCCTGATATGGCTTTCTTTCAGCACCTCCCATCCAAAATTCTGAAATGTCTGAAATCAGTGTCGCTATATCCCATGTAGGGCCCTGGCCTGCTCCATTCGGATCGATCATGTCTTTCTGCCTCAATGTCACCACTTGGTGTAAGTCCAGCTCTACATCGTCGATCCAACTTAGTCTTGGTCGACCAGTGAGTGTCTGACCCTAGGATTCCGCCTGTAGATTGTTTTCGCTGCTCTAAAATCCGGCATCCTTTCAATGTGTCCTGTCCAAGGAAGTCTGCCTTTTTTTACGACTATAGATGGGTCTTTGTGCAATTGATATATATATATCTCTCTTGGTTTGTAAGGATTCCCAAAACAAAATTGTCTATCACCGGGCCATATATTTTTCTGAGAATTTCCCCTTCCATGTATTGAGCAGGTTCTCTGCTTTTCTGGTAATCTCACCTGTGTAAGTTACAGCTGGTCCAATGACGGTGGTGTATATTGCCTGTTTTGTTCCCCTACAGATGTTTTTGCTTCCTTGTAGCTTTTGTAGGCTGAAATAAGAAACGTTGCCTGATGCTTTCATTTATTTCACCTCCAACATTATTTTATTGTGCTCATTTATAGTCATCCCCTATATATTTGAAAGTATCAACTTTCTCAAAGGTGTATTTGTTTGTATTGATGTTGTCATCATTGTGCGTATTTCGTGACATTATCATATATTTTTCTTCGCTTCATTTACCCCTTTCATTTGATACCAAATTTTGTCTTACAAACCCAACAATAACATTTTAAATATTTTTTAAATAAACCAAACCTCTCGTTCTTCTCCGGGTCCGAATAGCCACTTCGTTTAACAACATAAGATTTATTTAATGCGTGTCTGTCTGTGCACTGCATATGGCTGGTCAGAATGTTAGCACACTTTGTTAGTGCAAGAGAGGTCTTAAGTTAAATGATATTAATAGCGTAGGAATACGATATTTTGAGAATAGGGTGAATGTAAAGTGAGTAACAATAATAACATCGCTGCTTGAACGGATTTGCAAAATCTGTAACATCTATTTTCCATCACACGTCATGTTGAAAAAACATGTTCAACAGCACCGACAATGCCCTCTTGGGCATAAAAAATTAGCACCTGCTCCTCAACAAAAAGTTTTTTTCAGGGGGGGGGGCAAAACCAAAACTTTGTCGGCTTGTTAAGTTGTTTATTACTGGAGCCGTCACAGTACACCAAGCAATTTAAATAAAACCTGCAAATTAGGGGGGGGGGGAATGTCCCCCTGCCCTACCCAAATAATGTCCCTGATGCCCATTGTTACAATTGAGCAAACCTTGCTACTCCTTGGGAAGATGACAGCAGCTAGAAACTATACTATAATTGTCAGCTTTACTGACAATAATCATATTTACACCACAAAAAATTACATTTAGTCTTTAAATTTAACCACCTTTCAATTGATTCTGCATTATAAAATTTACTCGATAAGTGTACACACTTTTAACTTGATTAACAAGCTAGACATGTAATAAAAAATTGTCCCTACAATTTTGTGTCATTAAAATAAATCAGCACAAAGTAAAATGAGTTTATACATTTATTTATAATAAAATTCCTTTTTGGGTTAGAAAATGTTGACAAAAAATTAAACGGGGGAAGGGGTCATTGAAAGTTTGACAGTTGTTGACGGGGGGAGGGGGGCAAAAATTTCTTTAAAATTGTTGACATAATTAATGGACGACCCCTAAGGAGTCCACAAATAGTTGGTGTATGTTGGTGTTTTATTCGTAGCATTTCTCCGGGAGACATCTAATAGTAGAAATATGAAAGTCTGAATTGTCCCTTTACACATTGGCTGAAAGAAACAGTGAATTAAAATATGCATCAATATGCATCACCGCATATATATATATATATTTATTTATTTATTTATATATATATTTTTATTAAGGGGACCCCTGCCCCCGGTTTTGCTCAGGACTCTTTGGATTCCACAATTTCTGCAACCCCGTTCCTTGAAGTCGATCAGTGTGACTTAACGGGGTTGAATCTAATCTTGTGTCAAATGATATCTTGGACGCACCACAACCAGAATGAATTAAGTTTATGTATGGTACTGAGCGACATAATGCCTGCCCCAACGCTTGAAAAATTATTTCCCTTGATCAAATAGTCATATCAAAAGATTCAAATTATGTACACTTTCAAATGCACCTCATGATTTTTAAATTATTACAAATTTTCTGGTTAAGTAAAAGCCATCGGGATGCTCAATTTCCGCCCTACTTCCTGATAAAAATGGCAGGAATGCTTGCCCTTACAACCAATTTTGGCGCCGATATATCCACTGCCCAGCGGCGTGCCTGGTGTTAGCGCAACTTTAGGCGGGTTAACACTTTGCCACACTACCTTTCACGATATCCAATTTCAAAATAACAAAAAAATGACCCTTGGCCAGACCAACCATTCGCCCCCTCCCCCTGTTTAAGGTCATTGGCGTGAGTGTTTGGTGCCAGGGAACAAGATTCTTTTTTTTACATCCCCCTAACACTGAAATCCATTATTTTCATACAATAATACAATAAAACCCCATTAGGTGCCCCCACTATCTCGCACCCCGGGGACATATGCCCCACATCCCCACCTTAGCTGCGCCTTTTCCCGCTGACACTGCCTCCCCTGAAAATCCCCCCCCCCCCCCCCAACCACACCCCCCCCTGCAGTAACGCAAGTTAAAGAAAAGGTTTTCTAGATCTCTAATTAGCTGATGACTGCGCCTTGAATTTAAGTTTTGAATTGAAAATGGAGCAAATTCTTGATCGCTTTGCTAAGGCCTGCGAAAACTACGGAAGACAGAGAAGAAATAAAAAAAAAATGATTTCTGTCCCAGGAAAAGCTTACAATGAACCTCACATACCAGTGAAGGGACAGAATCTCCCAGCAGTGGACAAATTCTGCAAGCAGTAACGCAAGTTAAAGAAAAGGTTTTCTAGATCTCTAATTAGCTGATGACTGCGCCTTGAATTTAAGTTTTGAATTGAAAATGGAGCAAATTCTTGATCGCTTTGCTAAGGCCTGCGAAAACTAAGGAAGACAGAGATGAAATTTAAAAAAAAAATGATTTCTGTCCCAGGAAAAGCTTACAAAGAACCTCACATACCAGTGAAGGGACAGAATCTCCCAGCAGTGGACAAATTCCCATATTTAGGCGCCGTCCTCTTCCAGTCAGTAACAATAGATGATGAGGCCAATGGAATGTCCTCGGGAAATGTTGCATTCAGAAAGCTCCGCAAGAGTATCTGGTAGTGAAGAGGTCTCAGCTTTGTCCCTCAGCGGAAAGTATATAGGGCAATCGTATTCACATATCTCCTATATGCGGTGGCGTGGGGGGGGGGGTAAATGAGGCCCCGTGCTTAATATGTGCTTAAAGGCATCTCTGGGTTTTTTTAATTGATCAAAAATTTTGTGGAGAGGCTCTTTTAACATCCTCAACTTCTTTCATTCGGGATAATATGATTGGGACTGTGTTCAAGCCGTTTAAAGTAAATAAATAGTGGTGCCCCGATTTCTGCTCCCCTACCGACCAGTGACAGAGTCTGCACTTTTTCATCAGTTTATATTGGGGTGGGGAAACGGAGTTGACCCTGGGCACAATTGTGCCTTATTTGGATGCAGGTAAATGCACCCACCCCCCCAACACATCATTTTTTTAATAAATTAATACTGTACTCTTCACTTTGAACTGGCTATTTAAACAAAAATAAATCTATTTTGATTACTTTCTCTGTGTACGATACTCTTTGCTATTATCTAATCACATTTCTGCACAAATCAAAGATTTGATTTTTTAAATTATTATTGTAAGTTCATTGTGGTCGGGTGATTCTAACTACATCTTACAGTTCTTAAAAAACATTGGAAAATAACATTTTTTTTTACTCTTATCCCTCCACACTTGGCAACTTTTTGAAATTACTACAGCTTTTGGGATTATGACGGAACTTTCCAGAGATCATCTATAAGTCAGGGGCAATGACCATGTCAAATCTGGTTGCAGTCCATTGTCGTTTTTTTAGTGTTATTAATCAACCCATTTACAAACAAACACAGTCACACTGATAAAGTAAGGTAGATATATAGAGCACAATTTCTCACCATCTTATTTAAGGGAGGACACCTTCTCAACTGGTTCAGCTGTCTTGTGTATGAGAGCAGGCAGATTAAATGATGGCTTTCACTGTAATGTGGTCATTTGCATAAAACATATCACTCCCCCCCCCCTCCCAAACATGACCATAAATACACTGTGCTTACTGTGCTGTGCCTCCTGAACTTCTACTGAGACCTTACTAACTGAACTCACATATAACCCTTAATCAATAAAAATAAGAACGGCAAGTTCAATTAAATTTAACGACATATTTAATGGGTTCATTTGCATGAAATAAAATTACAGTAAATGTACAAGGAATAACTTAATTTTTTTAAAATAAAAAATTTGAGATAATTTTTTTTAATATACACTCAAATTCCAGACATAATTATCATGCACAATCACCAACGAATAATTTACAAAATTCTCTGTACAAATTCATCAATTTTAGTAAATTCTTGATGAAATTACTAGTGGCATAAAGGACCTTTCCTTGATTATTAATTATTCAAAGTTTATCATGCTATTAAATATTTAAAAATTCAAGACATGAAAAAAAGAGTAGACAATGACATTTGTTTAGTTAAAATAAATATTAATCAACTTGATTAAAATCAAAAAAATTCTGATATATTATCATATTCATGATATTTAGAGGAGATGAAAAAAAGAAGTATAGATTAATCATTAACTCTACATATTTTCAAAATATCCTTCACCAAAGGATGCGGTTATTATTTGAAACATGGTTAATATTTACTTATAAATGTGCATAAGTACCAAGAATGCTATCTTACTATTACTGGAAAGACTTTAATATCCCCTATTTTTTAGACAGCCATAAAAAATATCATAGGGTGCTTTGCTTAGACACTCATCAGCATAAACACTATCCAACCCACACCTTATGATTAAAAAGCTTTCTTGGTTAGGTGCGAATTCAAATATTCAAGCGTGGATACCAAACTTTTTAACAAATCCCCCACAGTATGTGAAGGTGAATGATCAAATATCATTAACTAGAGAAGTAAGTACGGGAGCGCCACAAGGTTGGGTTTTTCTCCCCTGTCCTGTACACAATATATATCAATGATATCCAGAGGCCAAGCAAAACCATTCCAATAATTAAATTTGCTGATGATACCACCATCGTTGGCTTTATATCTTAAGGGGAAAGCTTATACAGCAACTAGGTTACAAGCTTTATCAGTTGATGTGATGAAAATTTTCTTCAGCTTAATGTTTCAAAAATGAAAGAAATGGTTGTCGATTTCCAGAGGGGGAAATCACCCAATTGCAGATCTCACAATAAAAAAAATCACAGTATAGAGCAAGTACAGACAGATAAGAACCTAGGTGTCACCATTAATAATAATCTACCACTGCCAAATTCTGTATAGAAAAGTCAAGCAAAAACTTTTCTATCTTCAAAAATTGTGAACCAACAAGTTATCCTACAGTGCGACAAATGCCTGCTTAATGAACTTCTATATTAACTGATGGTGAGGGAATTCCTCACCTGACATGAGGGAATTCCTCACCTGACATCTCACACACATTAAATAGACTTATCAAGAAACTAAACATCCTTCAATTGAAGAACTTTTTGAAGAAAGATGCTGTTATAAAACTAAAAAATTTTTGGATGATCACCATCACAGATAACATACCTAAAATCTTTCTAAAAAAAAGTAAGGGCCAAAAGATGGAAAGAAAAAAATTGTTTCCCCCAGTCTGTATGAATATACCACAGAGCTCCCCCAAATCTAAATGATCAATAATAATGTCATTATTGTCACTTAGGGAGTTCATTGATAGTTTATTTATACTCTAAAGAAATACTTTAGATGTATTGTGTTTAAATTGGTATAATTAGAAAATGTCTTCGTTAAAATATGTGTTTGTTTATGTGATGCAATAAAACATCTACATTTTAATAAAAAAACATTTCTATTTTTGGGATCAATAAAAGAATCTTATCTAATATGGACACATTTGGAAAGTATCTGTTTAAAAAGAATTTTTTTTACTAATAGTTAAAGTATTAATAGTACCGGTATTATGCCAAATGCATCTGTTATTCACTCATACTATGAACCATAGTTCTAGTTCCGTCTAATTTTAAAAAAAATTATTAAAATTGCAACTTTTATCTAATCCATAAATTTAACTAAATGTTATTTGTCTTCACTTAGGATGTCATTCAGTAAGAGGTGAGTGTGGTTGTAGAAATACAACATAACAATGGAAGTAGTCCGGTTCGTTTGAAGGACTGTGATGCACACACAACACACAAATGTGTGCAGGAATGGAAAACATTTCCACAATTTGGCCATTAAAGATAATGCCAAAGTTTGGTGGACATGAAGCCTGGATGGGAAGTCCTGACATGGAAGATACTATTATTGGGAGTCACCACGATATAAAACAGTAGCACAACTACCAATCAAATGAATTATATGCTTTAATTGAAATTCATTTTATGGCTTCAGTTGCTAGTTTCGAGGGTAATCAAAGAATTAGTTATATCTTCCTTGGTTGGGACAGGGTACCACAGATATTTGTGATGTTATCAATAGTATCTTATAATTTTGAAAACAAAATATACCACGGCTGTCTGTGGATGCCATATTGGCATGCTGTCATATGTTAAAATCCCTTAATCTTTACATTGTTCAATGTGGGCTAAAAGATCTTGTTCCTGTTTTTCTGAAAATTCTTGATTGCATTTAGGGCAAGTTAAATAGTCACCTTTAGTCTTACCACTGCTAGAAGTACTACTAGTCTTTCTACTAACCGCAGGCATTGAAACATTACCAGAGTCATGCTGCTGAGAAATACCAGAGATCTGACTATTGTCAGGAGTGGAGCTGCGCATGGCTCTGGGCATACTATGAAAGTTTGTATCAGTATGACCAGCAGGAGGTCTTTGGGCACCACCTCTGGTACTAAGTCCAACAGCACTGTCCTGTGAGCTAGGAGCATAGGATGAAGATCTATCTCCTGCCATGGAATTAGATGAAAATGACATTGGTACTGGTGACGTGACAGGTGAAATGGAGGATGACGGTGAGGGTCCGCTAGACCAATATGGAGCTGGAGACAAATGAGGTGGAACTCTCTGCATATTATAGTCCACACCTCTCATTTTGTATCTGTTTAAATTGGCTATTGGTTGATATCCAGGGATCCGCCTATCAACTGGAGTCTGAAGAATGATGATTACATATTGTTAGAAATAAATCACCACAGTCTATTTTATATGAAAGCCATTTTACTTTGTAAAAAAACAGAAGTCACCAATGTAATGTTATACCCGTAAATATATTTCAGATATTAAGTTTTGTGGTTCATGTAAATTTAACAATGGTTACCCAACACAAATAGTAAATTTTGCTATTAAGATGTTTATTAATAGTCATATTGGTACATTTCTGTGCTAAACAGCTTACTTGTATAAATTACTCATTCAAGACATATTTCTATGAATTGAATTCTGTATCTGTATATTTACATTTTTTTCAATTTAGACAAAAGTGCACCCTTAACTCATTGAAAATACTGCCCCAAAATATTGAACATCTTTAATACTGAAAAACTCACTATTAATCCCTTCTATATATCACATTGAAACCACTTTTTGTCATAAAAAAAAAATATCAGGGATCCAAAAGTTAAAAGTGACTTAATTTTAATACCTCAGGAGGACTCTTGTTAGCTTTGAACATTTCCACTTCCTGCTTAAGAAGATCCCTCTGTAGGAAAGAAAAAAACAATGTAATCAGGGAAGTGATAAATCAAAATAAATTATTCACTCCAGAGCCAGAGATGTATGTTTTTTAAAAATTCTAAAATAATTTGTACTATTTGCTCACCTCATTTTTCAACCTATTAACCTCATCTTGCAAAGCTTTAGCCCTGTTCACTGCTTGCTCTCTGTCTTTTCTTTCAGTGTTGAAGTCTTCAGTGCAAACTTGAATTTGCTGCTTCAATATTTCAACTAGGCCGTGGTCCATCTCTGGCTGTGGACGCCGTTGTTTGGATTCTCGTGTCAGGTTCTCCACATCATATTTCAATCTTTGGTTTTCTAATCTCAAGATCTCTGTCTCAGCTCTTAAATTTTCCATGTCCTTAGAAAGAAGCACCAAAAAAAAGGCAACCATTAAGTTATGGTAATTAAAATAAAAGCAAAATAAAACTGTCAGGGTGCTATCAAATTCTTTTGATGACTATATAAAAATACAGGAGTTAATGTGTATATATTAAAATTATGAATGCAAAGAACAAGCTGGTAAAATTAGCTCAAAGCAAAGGTAAACAGCACCAACCTATATGAATAATTGTCACTAATGTTTTAGTTTAATTTAGTTTTATATGAATTAAGCTCTTAACTTAAAAACGTTTTGCAACTTTTTTAGTTTAATTTTTGCTCTTATTGTTAATTTTGTATTTGTGTAGCACCAATTTGTTACCTGATTAATATCTTCCAGCTCTGCTATTCTGGCACCAAGTAAATGAACTTGCTGTTCCTGGCTATCATTGTGGGCCTGCCACCGCTGATTCATCATGACAACCTGTATGTTTTTAACGTAATTTTTCAATTTTATAAAATATTTACTTTCCAATTAATGATTTATAATGCGTCTCACCTTAAGTGCAGCGAAATAACTATGACATCACCTTGGGTTTTCCCAATAATAAAAATAATATTTATGTTCTGAGTGCAATCTTATTTATATGACAAAACAGGAAATGATTCCAGATCTGTCTTTGAGTAATAAAAAGCAGGTCTATGGGCACATGCCCAAATGGCCCAGGATGATAATTGATAAAATAATAAATTATTCTTGGTTTAAAATTATAAATCAATAATCAAATGAGTTTTGTTCCTTTAATAAGGTTAGCAATAGGGATCTTCCATTTAAAAGACAACTACATTACTATAAATCACATTCAACAGATTTATTGTGGATATGCAACTTTTAACACTGGCTTCAATATATTTAATTAACTATTTAATTAAGTTACGTCATATGTGCTCATCTAAATAAAATTTTTAAGAAATCAAACTTAATTAAAGTTACATATTGACTGCCTTCATCACGAGGGTTCATTTTTACAGTGCAAAATATATAAAATGAGTAGAATTTTATTTTGAAAATTTTTTGAGTTTATTGATCAGATTGTTACTAGGCACTGATGTTACAACTTTATTTATAAGGAATTGACAATTATGTGCTTCATTGATATGAAAGAGGCCAGTGACGACAATATACCTGATTTAATCTCCTTTCCAAATCTGCATAAACTTCCTCACTTACCCCAGACATCTGAAAAATGTTAAAATATGTTAATAAATTGTTCAAATAATTCTTAAAGAACATGGTGAAATATGTTAAGGATAAAATATGAAATTATCATTACTATGAGGTTATGAAATATTTGAGTTTGACAAACTTTGATTTTTTAAGATTTTGGAAAAATTTTTTTTTTACCTTTTCCTTAACTTGTGAGTTTTCTTTTGTATGATAGTTTTCAACTAGATAAATATTTTCTAAATCATTGCCAAGATCCAAGCACTGTCGGGACAAATGTTTAAGTGATTCTCTAAGTTCCTCTATTTTACTTGGAGGTTCTTCTGCTGTTTGACATCCTATTTCTTTTCTCTCATCTTCATCTTTACTATAACTTCGTTTCTTCTGTAATTGTTCTTTGAGAGCTTGTTCCAGTGTTTGCAATTGTAACTCATATTCTGCCTTTAATTTTTCAATATTAGCCTTATACTGATTGGCTAAACCAAGTCTTAGATTTTCTGACTCTTGTAGCTGTTCTTTTAACTGCTTGTTTTCTGCCTCAAAATTCTCAAGAACATCCTTACTTAAATAATGATCCTGTTAAGATAAGCAAAAATTAACCACTAAATTTGGGGTATTAAACAAAATGTATAGCATAAATTATGATTAAGAAAGCTATCAATCTACATCCAATAGCTTTGGTTTATAATATGGAAAAATAGTTTGGCAAAAAATTAAGTATTAAAAGAATGCAATTTAAAAAAATTTCAAGCTTAAACAAACTGAACATAATACAATCAAAAAATTATTCACTGGACAAGTTTTATAAAATGTAATATACCTCTAATGACCTCTTTCCATTTTGGCCCTCATTGTTTTTTAATTGGCTGCGTAATCGTGCGTTTTCGCGTGCCAAATTATCTAAAGTTTGCTTGGAAGCGCCTGGCACATATACCTCTGTTTCCTCAATGTTTACACTAAGAAAAATTGACAAATGTGTCAAATGTAGTTTTAATATATGTAAATTTAAAAGAATATGAAACTAATTAATCATTGCATTACAAGGGTCAGAGAAACTTATTTCTCTTGACTGAGGGCAACTTTAAGTTTCAAAAGTTGTTGTGCCACCTTAGCCATAACAAATTAATAAAGATAATGAAAATGCATGAAATTTTCATGTAACTATCAAAACACAAATAAACAGAATAATTTAAAAGTTTGGTTTTGAACTTTCTATCATTATTAAAATAATGAAACTATAATTTTTTTTAAACTGGCCCACCTGTCTCTTTCTTATTACCTGATCCCTACAATTTACTTTTTAAGAATCCACATATTCAGAAGATACATATTTCTCTCCAATGAAGCATAAAATATCCAATAAATATGACTGACTTTCAAAAGTCTGGAGAAGTATATAATCTATAAATAAATTTTACCTGCTAGATAAGCCATTTGTTGAAAGTCTATTTTGAAGATTGGCAACGGCTGTTTCAAATGCTTTGCATTGACGAGTGAGCTTTACCACTTCAAGTTTCGATTCCTTTAACATCAGAGCCACCGTATCTACTCCAGCGCATCTATTTTTATATATTGCTAGCTGTTCCTGTAGCTCTTTGAGAACCAGTTTCATATTCTGAAAGCGTTGTCTGAAAATATTAAATGAAAATATTTAATTTTTAGGGAACACTGTGGATATGGGGAAGAATTAATACCAATGATTATTAAAAATATTTATGGGTTTGTATCTTGTTGAGTGAGAGAAATAGAATTTCCAAAGTATCAGATAAATGTGCAGAATTAGATGAAAGTAAACAAATTAAAATTAGCAGCCTCAACGTTGCTTTCCTTCTATAGAAATATCATTTTAAAATATATTTGTTATTGTTATGAACTAGTTTGTGAGCAGAGTTGGGTTGTATATGAAATAATTATTGATTGTAAGTTGGTGAGAGGTTTTGTGAGGGCCAGTTGTGATTAGTCAGGTTATGGAAGGTAAGTAAACAAGTCAGGTAAATAAATGCTGTCTGAAAATGGATCACAAGTTAGTTACTGCTAGTTATTGTTAGTAATTGTGGTCAGAGTGTGTCCTCAGGAACCTCTCTGATGAAGCATTTTTTTGCATGTACCATGCCTACCAAGAATACAAGTTTCAAGGTGTCGACTCTCATGTATTTCCATATGTTTTAATAAACATTGGATCAGGTGTCAGTCTTTGCAAGGTTGAGTCTGAAAGCACGTCTGCTGAGAAATTGTGTTATTTTTCGGGGTTGTGTATGTTCTAGTTTTTCAAGTAGTGTGTTGAAATTGTAGGTACTGGGATGCTGATTGTGTAAATATAAAGAACTCAAGCATTTCACCTGTCGTTGTTACTAATTGTTGTCATCCAGTGTGGAAGGACAAAAGCATACATTATGTAGTGTTTTCCCCCTACACAACATGGAGCTTAGCAAACTGCTTGTTCAGTAAAATTACCTACAGCAGGAGTTTGATAATTGTGAACTCATCCTGAGACGTTATAAACTAAGTCAAACTGATTCATTATCAGTGTGTTGTCCACTCTTTTAAAAGCATTTAGCACCTTAATTACCTATAAAGATGCTCTCCCTCCATATTTATCAAGCTTGACTTATTCTCTATGGACAGGAAGGTATCACTAGAATTAGTGCGAGTTGTCATAGTTGTCAGTCAAAAATAATTTTGATGAATTGAAATCTGTAAAATAAACATTAGATCATATGCTGATGACAAGACAAAAAAATTAAAATGAAATCATTGTCACAATTGCATATTTAATAGATAAGTTCCCACATGTTAGCCCAGGAAAGGCCCTCAGCTAGATAAAGTAATGAGTGCAATTATGAAATAGTCCACGGTCTCACACCAAAGAATCCAAGGACCCTATGAAAATGATATCAATGTATGGAATGTTTCATAATGGTCCCTAAACTAGCTACAATAAAAATTTAATTACACTCAAATACAGTCTTCACTTGAATGATAAACCTTAATATTACCGTCTATGGCCTGGCCATGATAAAAAAATTGTGCAACTATGTCTATGTAAAGACTAAAGACAAATTTGGGACTGATCTCTGCTATATTATTATAAGGAGGATATTTCTGGCTGGTCTGTGCCTCATTTGTCAATTGTCTTCTTGCGACGGTATGGATTGACAATTGTGGCTTGTGCACTTTTGTTTAAAATTTAATTTGTATGTCATACAAACCCTTAAGTCAGTTAAAGTTACTTTACCAAAAAATATCCAATTCATTTTAGTAAGACACACATAAATATAAGTTGCATACAAAGACAATCAATATGAATATGATAAATAGTACATGGACTAGCAATAACAGTAAGTTACTAAGTTAACTAAGTCTAAAATGTTACTAGTACTAGCCACCATATTCATATTATTCACTACTGAATACTGTCAATACAATCTCTCAATTAACTGAAATTCACATCTGGTCAGTCTGGTCTATTATTCGTTGCAACAGTAACAGAAATAAGTAAGTAAATCATTTATAAGCCTAAATAAGTCATTGCCCTGGAATCAAAGTCAGTTTTGAATATCATCTCCTTTCCTTACTATTTCAATTTGAATTGCATTGAATCATTGCATTGAATCATAATCATTGCATTGGCAGTTGGCAAATATCATATTCATATTAGTATGATATTAGCCAGTGGTGATCAGATTCAGAACTACTATTAGTTGTCCAATCCTATCATGAAGAATGGATCAGTGAGTGATTAGATGAATGAAGACACTGAAGTGAATGGTGAATCAGCCTGGACAGCTCTACTAAATCTAGTAGTCAGTTGCCTCGCAGATCAGTGCAAGAGTTTAGAATATAGTTTGGTTTATTTAGACTTAGAAAATTGGCCAGTACATATCAATATCCTGGCGGAAGTTCTGCTTACTGAGTGAGCCCAATTCAGAAAATTCACATAAAATTGTCAGTCAAGTAAAATTTTTCGTGTTAAATCATTCTTGTTTGTATGATATGATTTCAATATTAATTTAACAAAACACAACAGCCACAAGAAACTATCCTCGATCTCGAAACAGGAAACAGGATAGTTTTAAGTGGGGGGAAGTTTCCCAAAGCCAAAACGTCACAAAAGGCTATTAATAGTAATTTAATATACGTTCATCATGGAATGGGACAATACCGCGTAACCCTCCCCCCCCCCCACCCCCTTTTCACCATTTTTAAAAAATCTGACTCCACCCCCATTTCCTAAGCAAAATTAAATGAAATATACAGTTAAAAATATGTTATCAGATATTGATATTTTTTATTTTTGACTTTCCGATGCCCATTTCTTTTTTTCTTTAAAAAAGAAATAAATAAAATTTAAAGTAATAAAAAGCCTTCGAGCATTTTAACATGCCGTGCTTTGTGGGTTGGCCATAGTATGTTATAAATACAGTTTTGTTCACATACAAATAATAAGATGAATTTGTATTAAAATAATGATTGTATAGAAGAGTCATTAATAAAAAAAAAATTAATAATAGTATAGTAATAAATAAATGAAAGTAAAGGCAAAGGGTTATTCAAACATATTCATTAAATTCATTGTTCCTAGAAAAGTATTGACTATAAAAGTTAACAGCATAAAAATGTATAATAATAATAAACAAATTTTTTTTTATCAGTTTTAATTCTTTTCCATTATTTTATGCTTTTACATTGGTTAATTTTTTTATCTGTTATAATATACCATAATCATCTGCTTTTATTATTTACTAGTATAGTGGGCAGTGGGCCTATAAAAATGTGAATGTTCTCGATATTCGGTATTGCCCACTAGAGTAGGCCTAATTCAATTACTAACAGAGTTTGTGCGTTTATTTTCTTCTATTATTCTATATTTATAGTTGTTAAATCCGATATCCCTTTATTGTAAACGGTATGACTTTATTTAGTGATAACTTTTAAACCATACAGTACAGCCTATGGCCCATTTGCTTTGAAACGTCTAGTTTCCGGCTTCCTCTTTCGGGCTTCTACGTTGCATATTTCCCATCTAAAAGAGGCGGAAGACGATTGGGTCATGCGATGGTGTCTCTAATTTAGGCTAAAACGATAGGAACAGGTATTTTACATCAATTTTCCCAGTAAGGCCCTAACCTCCCCCACCCCTCAACAAAATCAAATCACGTTAATAGGCTACTTGTAAATGTTGAGCCCAATACGTGTTTCATTGACTGATACCGTTGATGACCCACTCTTCTCTCCAACCACCACCCCACCCCAATTAATAAGAAATAATTAAAAAAAAAAAAAAGAAAAAAAGAAACAATCCAACCATTTCGACGGTCACAAGAAACAATCTAACCACATGGTACACTTGAAATGAAATGGTTCCCAATAGGTTACTGTTGGTGGGTGTAGTGGCATAGGGGTGGTCCTTGAGTTTACCGCCCTCCTCTCACAAAAGACACTAAAAAAAAACAAAAAAACAACAAAAACCAGGGCCGGCGTAAGAAGGTTGCGTGCCCTTGTGCAAAATGAAATTGGTGAGGCATTTGATGTTGCATATCCTAGCCGATAGGATATTAAAACACATCAAAGTCATGGTCATAATGGGACACGACATGTCATATTGGTTATTTGATCACTGGCTTACTTTCCAAAATTTCTCTTTTATCTAAACCGAATTACGGATGGCCCCTCAGTTTGTTCTAATCTTATTATTATCAAAAACAAATTCATAAAAACTAAAGACTGTATAGTGAACAAAATATTATTTTTTTTCTGATGGTTACGGGGCAGCTAATTAAATATAAAAAAAACAAAAAAAACCTGATCGTTTTTATCGTATCAGCTTTTATTAGAATCGAGATAATTTGAAATTGATAAACAACATAATGTGGGTCGTTATATTTGTAACTCTGGAACTATAATACAAGTAAACGTGTGTTGTTTGATAATTCACCATTGAGATCCACAATCGTATCTAGATTAGGGTGACCAAATGTCCCGTAAAATTGTGATTGTCCTATTTTTTCACGATCGAATCCGGTGTCCCGAAAAAGTCTCCCCGGACGCCCAAATGTCCAGTTTCTAAAAACAAACACATTTTCAAATCACTAAAACTTCATAATTTATAATATAACTTCAAGTAATATTTTGGCTTGCTGTGTAGCCAGTGCCAGTAGTGATGTGGGCTCGCGTGATGGCTGCACTGTTCCCCCTCCACAAATCTGCCGGCGCTGCGATCCTTGCCCATAATGGTAATACTGAAACCCCCAGTGCATGATTCCCTCACAAAGTAACACATGCAATCCGTGAAATGCCCTCATCAAATCCTGGCACAGAAATATTGCAAATGCATAAGAGCCAAAATGATCAATAAATTGATCGTGGGCCCTTAATATATAGAAGAAGAAGAATCTTTTCGCTCATGAACATTCAATGGACGGACGAAAGAAACAAGATGACAGTGAAGATACTTTCTGCAATCTTGCAGGTTCTCTACAATTTCGAAATGGACTGTTCTAGTTTGTACAACTTTATATTAGATAAGAAGGAGGTTTTAACAATGGCTGGGACAACAGCCAAAAATCCTCAATTTAAATCCTCGACTAGGGAAATTTAATTTGTTTTGTTGTATTTTGTTGTAAAATATGTATAAATAAAAAAAATATTCACTGCAAAATTATTTTTTTCGTTTATGATATGCCTCAGAGTTTAAATTAAATTACAAAAATGAAGGTAAATTTAAAAAAAAAGATTTCAAGGTATCAAAATAGTTCAAATGAACACATTTCAATAAACAGTTTCCAGCGGAGGCCCCCGGACCCCTCTTTAGCTGGAAGTTATCCCCCCCCCCCAACCCTCCTTGAGTGTGTCCCGTTTTTTTTCCAATTCATGATTTGTTCACCTTAATCTAGATTTATATTTTTCTTCGCCTATTTCATCATTTTTAAACACCAGTTTGCTGTACTCCTGAGGAAATTCCTTTGCAGTGTAGACCTTGGACATGTGTGATGGCTACATCAAGTCATCAAGTTGCTTAGTCGAGGTCTTCATGCGAACGACCTTGGAGGGATGGTAGGGGAACTGGATAAACTTGCCATTTGATTATCTTGAACATCCCTATATTGTGTTGATTGACAAAGAGGGTATACGAACTATGAGTAGGTGCGGTCTGGCTTATAAAAAAAAAATTATAATATTATAAGGGCTACGCTCAGGGCCACAAGCGCAAAACCTTGGGCCTTGGCCTTGAGCGGTTGGCCCGTTCGTCACCCACTAGCGCCGACTCTGACAAAACCATCCACATCAAACTTAGACTACTGCTGGTGGATCCAATATTATTCAAGCACAAACATTTTTTATGAATGATAGATAGGCCTTTAGTTTTTCTCTTAAATCTTCTGCTATTTTACTGATTAAATTGCAGTTTTAAACAAGTAACTTTATTGTAATTAAACAAATTATAGTATATTTATTTAAATTCATTACTTTAAAATCACTTTAATAATGCAATATATAAATTTTGTCATGAAAAATTAGCTAGCTTAATTAAACTATCCAGATTTCACAATACATTCTAATAATTAAAAAAAAATATAATTAATGTCTAATTTTATCCTGTAAACAGAAGCCTAGATTAATAAAATCAATTGAATTTTGTCACGTGATTTGGAGTGTCGTAACAACGTGTGACGTTTCGATAGGTTTAACCCCAATAAGATGTTGTATGATTCCCCTGCCAATAGAGGATTTCCCAAACAACTGTCTTCTTATTTTTAGTAATTAAGATGGCCGTTCACGTGCCCTGTCGAATTTGCTGGCTGGTTTTGTTAATTTGTGTATTTATAGTTAATGGCGAAATATCTAGTTGGAATACCAAAGATTTTCAAAGAAGGGAACACAGTTTAACTAAGCCGTATCAAGGTATTATACTAAGAATAAGAAAGGGTAGCATTAATTGTGCCTGTTCGAAAACTCTTGGCCTGAGGCCTGAGTATCTGACTACTAAACTACTAAGAGTAAGAGTCTAAAGAGTTAAGAGATTTAAGTTTAAGAATAAGACAGAGTAAGAGAAGTTACGACTTGGTCTTGGGCCAACGCATCACCCAAAGCCAGTCTCAACTTCTTCACTCTTCAGTAATTTAAAATTTAATTAGCCCGAAACTAGTCAGACTAGAGTTTTGAGTTTTTGACTGAATCTCAGACCTAGGGGCCATTTACAACCTAGAGGGTTAGGGGCCATCTGACTGTATGCACTTAGTCTCAGAATGCACTGGTGACTGGGTCTGGGGAAAAAAAGGAGGTGGGGATATTGATTTTAGGAAATGTTGCATCCATGTTGGGGTGTGTGGTATTGTAAATGAACACTCAATGTCACATTCTGAGATAATTAATTAATTGTCGTGTAATAGTAATAGTAAAGTAACAGTTAATTCAGGTATAATTTATACGAAGTGGATGCGTACACCGCGGCGGTGTACCTAGCAAAACCATCGACTTTGGCCTGGGTACACCACGGCGGTGTACCTAGCGAAATCGTGGGCTTTGGCCTGGGTACACCGCGGCAAAAATTTACCATTGGCCTGGTTTTAAGAAACGCCTGTAAGATAAGATCTTGAGTAGTCAAGTGGTAGAGTGGACGCTTGGCGATCGTCTATTGTAAGCTCAATTCCCAGTAGGGGATCGAGTTTTTTTTCTTCCCATTTTAATTTTTAAAAAAATTATTTAAATTATCATGTGCATTTGCAACAGTAGTTTCCTGAGAAGTTTTAAAATATTTTATAGCAATTTAAACAATTAAAATTAAATATATGTTGTATTCAGATTATTAACTGATTATTAAGTGTTTTAACAAGTTGTGCCGGCCTTTGACTTTAAAAAAAATACCGGTAATATGAGTATGACATTAGAAAACAAACTGAAAGTTTCTGAAAGCGCATGTATAGTGTATGTAACATGTACCGGTATACACTTTATCAATGATATCATACGAATATAAATGTGCATGGTCGTGTTTCCAGAATGGCATGGGATATGCTATTCTCAGGTAAAACACGACGTTTTCTCACAGAAACCATTGCACAATGCGCTT